TCGCCCCCCCAAACCTTCCCCCCCCTCCCCATCCCGGCATTTCCCAACACAGCTCCGCCCGGGCTGCTCCGAGGACACTTGGGTTTTTTACAGTCATTATAGGTTTCCTTTGAGATGATTTACCCCTTTCTTTACATATACATCGGGGGCATTTTGCCTCACTATAGACCAACTGCTGCTAATTTCTCTGGTTTAAAAAAGAGGGTCTGACATTTTCTGGAAGGTTGGGTCAAACGCATGCTGGGGCACACGTGGACCCAGTTCCTTGTGATGCGTCTGAGCACACTCATAAAGAATTCCTTAAGCACCAAGGCAAAAGGGACTAGACATCTATTGAAAGGGAAGATAGACCATAAGAAACCAAGAAATCAGACGAAAGGATCTTATTTTAAGCGATCTCCTTTGGAAGTTTCTTTTCAAAGGCAGTGATCATTTAAGAGAAAGGGAATTCTAATGTCTCAGGATAAAACCTGTGACTAATGCCGTTTGACCTATGCTCACGCCGTTTTGTGCTTCCTGCCATTCATTTTAATGTCGTTATCTTCAAATTTATTTCTTAAAAGTCACTCACTTTCTTTGTCGTTTAAAAAAAAAAAAAAAAGCGAAAAAAAAAAAACCCACCCCAAAACCGCCGCGGGGGGGTGGGTGTCAGGGGGGGATAGGACTTGAAGCCTGCGTGTGTCCCGGTCCGAGGCTGGTAATCCGCATGAAATTGGGAGAGCCAGCACTTCAAATCCGGAGACCAAAGAGCTCGCCTTGGGCTGGGCCAGGGGCGCGGAGTCGCGCCGGGAAGCTCCATCCCTCTCCCCGCGTCCCCCCGGGAGACGGACGTCTCAATCACCGCCACGGCTCTGCCCGCTCCCCCGCGGGGGGACAACCACCCCCTCAACCCCCACCCCCCGCCTCTTTTCCCCGCTTGGGAAGGGGGGGGGGCGACGACGATGACAAAGTTTGGCTTTCACCTGGATGCGGGAAGCCCCCATCCTCTTCCCAAGCGGGGAAATACTCTACAAGGGACCAGGCTCCGCCGCCCCCGCGGCTTCTCGTTCTCCAAATTTATGAAGGAAGCGTGTGTGTACGTGTTTTGTTTTGTTTTCTTATTTTTATTTTTATTTTTTTTTTTTCCGGGGAGGGGAATAGGGGGAGGGATGCTCCATGTCCGTCCCCCCCCGGCGCCTCCCAGCCTCTCTAACGATGCTTTCACCCTCGTCGGGAGTCTGACTGGGAGCTGCGGAGGCGAGGCTGTATTAAGACACCTAAGGCTTCACCTTTAGAATTCAAGCACAAGGAACAGTAACTGTTGGTTCGTTCAAAGCTCTTCTAGATCCGTCCCGTCCGTCCCCGTCCCCCCCCCTCCCTTTTCTTGAAAATCCTTCTATTGTGCCAATCAAGCAGATGGTTTGCAGGAAATATAGCTTGGCCCCAGTGACCGAAACTAATTTTAACTAGCTTTCCAAGCCTGGCACGTTTGTTTTGCTCTTACAAAATAGCTAAAAAAACAGCTGGCAAGGGTGAATTAAACCCATTAAAGACACATTTATAAGAAATTATATTCACATAGGTTGCTTGAAACCCCCCTAAGAGGGGAGAGATGAGCGTATTGAAATGAAAATGTCCCTGAACACACTACCCTCCTTAACATCGCCTGAGAGTCTCAAAACATTTTACTAAATAGATTAACTTGACTATTGTTTCGCATCACATTTATCAGCTTCATTAAGTGAATAGCTGAACAAATATATTACGCATGCATGAAAAGCTCTTTTGGGGGCTGCCTTATTGTGTCCTCAGCCCTGACAGGTGGTTAACTGTGTTTCTCTCTCCTCTCCCCCTCTCTCTCCCTGCGCAAAGAAAGAGGGATCTCGGACAGAGCGCGCAGCCCAGACTTGGCAAAGGGACCTAGAGGGGAGAGTTACTTTCTTTTCCCTCACCATTCATGCCGGCCAGCCTAGAGTGCATGCAGCCTGAAACGCAACCAGATGATCTGATCATGTCAAAAGTAATTAACTTTAGTTTAGTCTCTCTGTCTTGCTTGCGCTTTACTAACTCCTTCCAAGCCTGTTTAATTTGCATCCTTTCTTCCACATTTGATTATTTTTGTCCACTTCATCCTTTTATCCTTTCCCTCACCTCCATCTTTGTCTAAAAAAAATAATAATCTGGGGTCAAACAATCCCTCTTCTTTCTTATCCACTGATCTGTTTAATAAACAAGCAATCACGCAACCTCCTCAAAACCAACTTCTTTCATGACCTAAGACTTGCACATTTTTGGATTTGCAAAATGCAATATGGTGTTTTATTTGTTGTCTTAATTTCATTATTATTTAGCACAGGGGAAACTAGCTGGGAATTGGGTAGTGGCTTTTTGGATGCTCAGATGCTGGAGGCCATGGTCCTGCTTGTTTCAGTTGTGGTCTCTGCCCCAGGAGTTTCCAAGTTCGACTGCGTGCATCAAGCTTGAAGGATGAGAGAACACTCTAATTTCCTGCTTATTTTCTCTAAAATGTATTTCTCTCATTTTACTCAAGTAGGTAAGAAGAATTAAAAATCCTTTTGTGTTTCAAATCAGGTCTTAATTCTACTCCTGCCACCTCACTGCTTACGGTGGCAAATTTCTCTGCTCACTGATTCATTGACATCTCGAGGTAGTAGGTGATTTTAAGTGCTGGGAGTTGAGGATCCCATTACTTTTCCACTCCTAAAGCCCCAGTTCTTTTCCCCAAACTATAGGCTACAACATGAAGGACAAGCTTGCTTGGAGGAAAGGGCTCTGCTGGGCTAATTCTGAAGGAGAATGAATGTGTCCTGGGGCGGACTTCAGCAAACCTCACAGTTTGGTATCACCTTAAACTGAGGTCTCTAAGCCCACAGG